TGGGTGTTGCAAAGAGCAGCAGCAGGATACAGGCAGTCAGGGGCAGAGGAACCAGGAAGGCACAAGGAGTCAAATGCTAGCCAAGGCAGAAGTATCGGCCTCCAGGAGACGCCCCAGCCATTTGACTCCCAGCTACACAGAGAGGAGGGACGCGGGTGGCGCTGTGGGTTAAACCACAGAGCCTAGGACTTGCGGATCAGAAGGTTGGTGGTTTGAATCCCAGCGACCGGGTGAGCTCCCGTTGCTCGGTCCCTGCTCCTGCCAACCTAGCAGTTCGAAAGCACGTCAAAGTGCAAGTAGATAAATAGGTACCACTCCGGCGGGAAGGTAAACAGCGTTTCCATGAGCTGCTCTGGTTTCGCCAGAAGCGGCTTAGTCATGCTGGCCACATGACCCGGAAGCCGTACACCGGCTCCCTCGGCCAATAAAGCAAGATGAGCACCGCAACCCCAGAGTCGGCCACGACTGGACCTAATGGTTAGGGGTCCCTTTACTCTTTACCTTTACACAGAGAGGAGGGGCTTGAATCTAGATATCTGTTGGTTAGATCATGGTGCTGATAACACCAAGGTCACAGGTTTGATCCCCATATGGGACAGCTGCATATTCCTGCATTGCAGTGGGTCGAACTAGATGATCCTCAAGCTCCCTTCCAACTCTATAATTCTATGAATTCAAGGCAAGTTCAGGGAAGAGGCATTGAGGCGGGGGGGGGGCAGCCATCCCTGTCCCCACTTCCCAGAGAGCCTGTGACACCAATGCACTGAGAGTTTTACAGACAGTTTTATAGACTAAGAGAGTAAAGCTGCAAACCCAGGTGGGCAAGGAAGATGGAAGTCCCGCCCCCTTCCAGTAAAAAGGCCAAGAGGACAAGAAATTGGTCTGTGCTTCCTTCCATCTCAACTTCATCCTATTCAGGCAAGCAGCAACCTCTTCATGAAGCAGAAGGGCAAGAGTGGCCCATGGGGGGAAGCACCTGCTGTTCCACGCCCAAGCAAAAGTGGGCTTTAAAAAGAAGAAGAAAGACTAGGGCTAAGGGGAAGGTTATCACAGTACCAAACCTAGCAGTAGTATGGTACTTTACCATTTTCTGGTCTCCACTTTGCTGTCTCGGAAAAGGACCACTGAGAAGCCCAGTGAGATTGGAAAGGGGGACAAAAGGAATCTGCAGCAGGCTGGTGGTGTCCATCGTGCCAAGTATGCTAGAGAAAAGAAGAGAGGCTGCCAAGCCAGGAACTGAGGAACTCTGGGCAGAAGTGCAGCACCTCTGGGCAGAAGTGCGGCACACTGATAAGCACCAGTCCACAGCAATTCAAATAAAAAATTACAGAAGCTTAAAAAAATTGCTTTGTAGGCTCCTGCTGGTACATCTGAGATATGAATGAATGAAGTATATGAATGAATAGGCACACACAACCCAGCTCACCTCCCTCCCAACCCTGGCCAACTTGGCCATGGAAGCAGAGAACAGCATTTCATGCGATGGAAGGGCCTGGTGCCTCCACACAGGAGTTGCCTTTATCTATCAGGCTGGAGAGAGAGGATTTAAAAATGGGAACAAGCTTAGAACTTCTGAATGGCACAGCAGTGGAAACCTTGAGTGTCCCAAAAGCTGAAACGTAAAGGGCTCTGCATTGTCCAAGACACCACAGCCAGGTACTACAAGAACCTGAATCAGCTGAGCTGGCCTTCATCCCTTGTAACATAGGTTGCACCAGAACAGTGCCAGCATGGGCTCAAACTACAAGGAGAAGGAACTACAGCTAACCATTGGGTTGTGGGCACTGTTTGGGGGGGGTTAAATAATTTTATTTGCAATATACATATTAAAAGGTAAAGGACCCCTGATAGTTAAGTGCAGTCACAAACGACTCTGGGGTTGCGGCACTCATCTCACTTTACTGGCCAAGGGAGCCGACGTTTGTCCGCAGACAGGTTATCCGGGTCATGTGGCCTGCATGACTAAGCCGCTTCTGGCGAAACCCGAGCAGCGCACAGAAATGACGTTTACCTTCCCTCCAGAGCGGTACCTATTTATCTACTTGCACTTTGAGGTGCTTTTGAACTGCTAGGTTGGCAGGTGCTGGGACCGAGCAACGGGAGCTCACCCCGTCGCGGGGATTCGAACCGCCGGCCTTCTGATTGCCAAGCCCTAGGCTCAGTGGTTTATTACATACATACAAAAAGAAAACAATTGTACAAATAACAAGGAGGGGGGAAAACATGTTCTAAAAAATGAAAAAGAAAATTAGAAAAAAGAAAAAGAACAAAGATAAAAAAGGAGAAAAGGAAAAAGAGAAAAAGTAAAAATAGAGAAAAGAAGAAAAAACTGCCTATTTTAGATCTTATTAGGACTTACATGAAAATTGTTTAAATGGGTTGTGTACGTTTGATGGTCTTATTGTTTATGACTACTTTTATTACGTTTGTAATTATGTGGGTTTTATTCATGTAAGTCACCTTGTACATACTTTTAACTATGAAAACGCAGCATACAAATAATATGCATATATTATGCAATAGTTCTTCCTGGAGGCATGGACTGTCCAGGAGCAGCTGGAAGGTGGCAGATTCATTTCCTTAGAGGTCACCTTCCCGGACAGCGACCTCTGACCAAGGATGATGAAGTCGAGGACATCCTGCATCATCGCCAGCCGCCCAGGTCTCTTCAGACTGTGAGGATTCTATGAACTTAAGCCTCAAACTGCAACAGCAGCAAACTGGATTTGGCTGTTTATTTGCCAGCAGTTCTGTACATGCCAAGTCTATTCCCCAAAGGAACAGAAGGTCATCCACAAAATAAGGCTGTCGTCCCTCATCCCCAGATGGATCAACTGCGGATCAGCATGAGGGCAGGAGTGGAAGTTTTGCCTTTGCTGCTCCGCAACTACAGTGTCCACAAAGCAGAGCCCACTGACACTTCACAGGGCAGATGCTCTTGCCAGCCAAAAATACTGACCTTTTGCTGCACATGGCAAAGCAGCAGAACAACCACAAGAGGATACTTGCTAAAACCAAGGTTTAGTTTTATTTTTGCAAACTACTTTTACAGATTTTTCAGAAAACACCACGAGAGCAAGCCAGATCGAACACAAGGGAAAAGAGGAATGTCCAAGCACATTTATGACTGCAGCAGGAAATCCAGACAGACACTAAGAATCCAATCAGAGAGTCTCTCACATCCGTCGCTCACATCAGATCAGAATGATTAATGACCCAGAGAGAAAGAGAGGCACTCTCTCATTGGCCAATGAAATAAATGGAAACCAACATGACTCTGTGGGCGGTGCTGATCCATTTGTTATGGCCCGTTTCAAAAGTATTTGGTCCCACGACTGGTTGACAGGTGGCATCAAAGGGGCTCTCACCTGGCTGCCCAAATCGGATAACCCAACAAGCTGCCTACCCTGTGGATTTCAAACTGCATCCACTTCAACAACACTGAGCAAAAAAACCATCATAGCTTCAGGCTCCACAGATTTACTCAATCCAAGGCGAAGTTCACGAAACACTTGAGCCCAGCCAGCTATTTCCCCACAACTTCTCCACCCTTCAGAGGAGAGCCCTTTGTCAACAGCTTTAAGAGATGGAAACTAGCTGAGAAGGGCCTAGAGGGCACTTTATTGCCAACTAACCAAACCAAAATTTCTAACTGGAAAGGCTTCGCAAATTGCAGAAGCGCAAAGCCTCTTGCAAGGCTGCTGCAGGCTCTGCACTTGGGGCCCGGAAGAAAGAAAGGAGGGAGGAAAACGTGAGTCACTTCCTCATCTCATTCTTGGCCCAACAGTTCCTGTGTCATATTAGGAAGAGAGAGAGAGAGAGACAGAGACAGAGGAAGGAGGTGGTTAGGGTCAACCACATCGCACAAACTTGGGCAGCAAATGTTGCTGGTGGGGGGTGAACTCATGGGAGCTGTGGGCCAGGGATTCCCCATCAGCCCAAATCTCAGGTGCTGCTTGGAGGGGAGACCGGACACCAGTCTGGCAAGTGGAGATAACCCCTTGCTCTGGTTCCTGTTCCAGGGCTTGCCTTGTCACAGAAAAGGCTCCCAAGAAGCCTCAAGGGGGCAGGGGGCAAGATGCTCAGAGAAAGATGCTCCAGGACAAGGCTTCTTGGTGGCTCCACTCTACCTTGGGAAGGTCTCTGGGTTTGATGCACAGCACTTCCAGGCAGAACTGGGGAACAGACCACTTCCTGAAATCCTGGGCTTGCCTTGTAAACAACACTGAGCTAGATGGGCCAATGGTATGAGGCAGCTTCCTCTCTTCCTAGAGCAAGAGAACCTGAACTGCCTCTGGACCGTAAGACATCATCAATCCACCTCAAGCATCTGCAAAAGCAGTGTTGAACCTGCTCTTAAATCCTCTCCACTCCTGTAGCTCCATGGCCGGTTCAGAGATCAAACGCAACCCATAACCAACCCCAAAACACTCTTGATACATCCCCCACACACACTGCAGGAAGCAGCTTCCCTATTAAACCCCAAGCTTCCCTCACCTTCTGACATATCCCACAAACCTGATTTATCTTCCAGGCTATTAACCACTACCCTTTTGCTTTCGTATCCAGCAGTGTTATTATTCTGCCCTGTAATCGCACTCATTAAGTTGGCAACCACATGCTGATTTATGCTTAAAATACTATTTGTTTCCAGAGCAGCTTCAGATGATACGAAAATATGGTTTCTTTGAAAGCAAAAGGAGTAAAAAGAGGTCAAAAATAATCCACTGGGAACTGCAGGTGGGAGTGGCACAGCCAAAGAGAAAGCAACGGAGCAGCATAATTGGCCTGTCTCTAGGTGCCAGAAAACGGGGCAGCTGTTTCTGCAAAAGGTTAGACCTGGCAACAAAGCAGCAGGTCGAACGGCTCAGGGATGCTCTGTTCCTCTCCCCACCCCAGCTGGAAGCTGCAATGAGCACCACTGGTGGTTCGAGCCAATGATACCCCTTGGGCATGTTAGCAGCATGGGGCTCACCACCCCTCTGAAAGGGCCCCCTTACCTCTTGGCTTCCTCCAGGTGGCAAAGATATTCATAGGCCACATTCTGCCGTCTCCGCTCATCCATCTCTTCTGCAGTCATCCTCTCATTATCCAGGACAGCTGCAAAAAGGCAGGACAGGGTCAGTCCAGGGAAGCCAGAAGGCCCCGAGGCAAAGTGCAGCTCAACAGGGGGTCGTCCACAAGTGGGAGGTGTTGGGAGCTGAAGGAGCAAAGCCTCACTGGCTGCCCAGAAGCACCCAAGGTCCGGCACCCCACCCACTCCCCCCAAACAGGACAGGTAGTCCCAAGGGTTTGTTTTTGTTTTTTTGAATGGCTCACCTGTTCCCTCCAAGTCCCACAAGCAACAACAACAAAACAACAACAACAACAACAACAACAATAATAATAATAATAATAATAATTTATTATTTATACCCCGCCCATCTGGCTAATAATAATAATAATAATAATAATAATAATAATAATAATTTATTATTTATACCCCGCCCATCTGGCTGGGCTTCCCCAGCCACTCTGGGCGGCTTCCAAAAGAATATTAAAATACTATTAACAAGCAACAAATGGGGAGTCAACTCTCCTATACCACAAATATGTATTTAATTTAAAGCATTTTTACCCACCCTCTCACCCCTTAGGCAAGAAGATTGCCAGGGCTGCCTTGTTTGCAAAAACCAGGAGCAGGATTTTAACCCCAGACTCTGCTGGGAAGACGCTCGCCAACCGAAAGCACAGTGCAGGGAGCATCCTGCCCACCCTAGAAAGTACTAAAATAAGGCTCCACCACGCAGAGCAGAGGCCCCAGGCTCCAAGAGAGGAGGAAGCTAATCCAGACAGCCAGTCCAAGGACAGACTTGCCAGGTGCACACACCTGCTGTGACAACAGGGTGAACAGTTTACATTCAGTGTGCTCCCTTCCCCCCCTCCACAAATAAAAAACAAGCTGATGACAACATAAAGCCACTGCACTGCCTGAAACTGAAAGTTCTTCTGAGACTTCCTGACTATGCTCACAACCATTCACAAGAAATAGACAAACTAACCCCATGCCTTGGGGGGAGACAAGACACAAATCAGTGACTCTTGCAGAGGCAGCAAGAGTGGCTGGGGCAACCCAGTCACATGGGCAGGGTACAAATAAAATAATAATTATTATTATCATCATCATCATCACCATCCTCCTCTCTTTGCTGAACAAGCCAGCTTAGTAACTGAATGTTATAATAATTACAGCATCCTGGTTTGCCATGAAACAGAGCCACTCCAAATCCTGTAAGCAAAAAGCAGACTTTGGGCCCTGGAGCCCACATGCCTTTTGCATCAGACAAGGAGTCTTGCGACACCTTAAAGACCAACACCTGAGATTCTGCACTACAGAACTACTTGATTTGAGGCAAAGTGAGCTTTTGTGAAATGGGCGGGGCTTCTCAGTGGCACTTTCTGTATAAAACTTTGAGATCTTGACCAGTCAGTGCCCAGAACTTTCCAGAAGAATGGGAGGATAGTTTGTGAGCAGAAACGCGTTTCTCCATGAGTCAGAAAAGGAACGGTCCAGCCAGAGTGAGGCATGAGAACGCTCTGCTGACTCCTCTGGGAGAATAGAGCGAAGGGCACCTTCCCTCCCTGCATCTAAAAATACCAGGCTGTTTGGCTGACAGTGGTAAATATTCATAATTTGCCACAGAAATATATCTGACAGATCGTAACATTTATAACACTTTGCCTCAGGTGTAAGATCCCCACTGATTCCCTTTGTGTAGGAAAGTCAGCTTTAGTTCAGTGGCTTTGGTAACAGTCCCATGCTCCACATTTTAAAAAGTATCCATCAAATCTAGTTGGAGAGATAAGGCTATAATGGAGGAGTAATGAGGACCTCCAGTGGGAGGGTACTTCACAGCACCAGCCCCACAACCAAAAAGGCCCTGCTCCTCACAACCAGTCCTGCAGGACCCAAGATAAGACAGTGGAAAGGTGTCCCTCGGGAAGTTGTGGACTCTCCTTCCTTGGAGGTTTTAAGAAGATGTTGGATGGCCATCTGTCATGGATGCTCTAGCTGAGATTCCTGCACTGCAGGGGGTTGGACTAGATGACCACTGGGGTCCCTCCCAGCTCCACAATTCTATTATATTTTACAAATGCACATTATATTCCGAGGCAACTATTTAAATCAGAGGATCCTAAAATGGCTTCCTTTAACATAGTGGTTTGGGAGAAGATCCTCAGTTCAAGACACACTCATTGCTTCAGTCATCCGAGTGAAACAATCCTGACACCCCTTGAGCAGCCAGGATGAACAAGACTTGCACACAAGATGCTCCAGTTCCAACCCTGGAGCTGAAAAATCCTGGCTCAGATTACAGCTGCACGCTGTAATTGACAGCACGTTCCTATACCACCCCACAAAGAACTGCAGTTTGGTAAGAGTGCTGGGAACTGTAGCTCAGTGAATAGCAAACTACAGTTCCCGGGATTATTTCTGGGGTGTGTTTAAATGAATAGTATATATACACCCACATATGCCTCACTGCCTCTAACGGGGTCATCCACTCCTACCTGCTGGGCCAATTCCAGGTAGAGGTTTGTGGATACAGTGGACGCTCAGGTTGCGAACATGATCCATGCGGGATGCACGTTCGCAACCCGCAGTGTTCGCAACACACGTCTGCACACGCGCGGGTTACGATTCAGCACTTCTGCGAATGCACAATTTAGTGCTTCTACGCATGCACAACCGCCAAAACCCAGAAGTAACCCGTTCCGGTACTTCCGGGTTTCGGTGGTCCGCAACACAAAAAAACGCAACCTGAAGCGGCTATAACCTGAGGTATGACTGTACTTCTGTCCCGTGACATTTGCCAATCTGCCCCCATGTTTTTCAACCCTTATGTGAAGCCACTGAATGAGCTCATCCACTGGTGAAAACCAGATCTGTCGGGCAAGGGTTTGGAAACAATAATGGACTGGATGAGGCCCAGTAAACTGAAAAGCTAACCTGACAAGGTAGAAGAACTGTCTGACAGCTTTGTGTGTCCAGGATGGTGGTGCTCCACATGCTCTGGAGGGGCTGTACTCTCCCTAAAGCAGGGGTCCCCAGCATTTCTGGGCCCAGGGATATATTTTTAAAAAATCTAAGAGCTGTCAGGGCCACCACAAAGTACCCATTTCACAGAAGAAAAACTGGGGATGCTCATAAACATTCCCTGCAACAGACAAACCCCACTGTCTGTGAATCGTTCCAAGACCTAAGGATGAAGGGTGGTATACAAATTTAATAAATAATAGTAATAGCCCCTTTTGCACCTCACCAGCCAGGCCTGATTCTATAGCCAGCAGTTCCAGAGCCGCCAAAGAGCAATCCCTTCCTGCTGCCAGCTTTGAAACTACGCCTGGAGAGATAGGAAAGGACAGAGCCACCATCCTTATTGCCTGTAGACAGATCCTGTGGCTGTTTTCGATGCTGCCATTTCCTGGCAGTTTGGCATAGCAGGAACTGGGCAGCAGCATTATTCACACAGCTCACCCACAAAAAGTAGCAGCAATGACTTATGAAAGAATGTGGGTTTTAAAGTAAGGCTTCGCCGTTTTTTAAAACCCCCCTGCTGCCACCAATACAGAGAGCCAGGCTGATGTAATAGTTACTGACTGCTGAATTAGGGGTGGGGAGATCCAGGTTCAAATGCCCATCAGCCCAAAAGTTCATTGGCTGACCCCTGGTCAGCCCTGTCTCTCAGCCTAACCTACCTCACAGGGTTGTTGGGAGGATAAAATGGGGGTAGGGAGAACATTCAGGTCTTTGCAGGAAGGCTGGCAAACAATGTAAAATAGACAGCTCATTTCCCCCACTTTCTACATGGAAAGGGTACCTTGGATTAGCAGGCAGAAATCCAACAGGTTATGGCAAAGGTTCAGCTCTTTAACTTGCCGCCCCCCTACTCAGACCCATTTCCAGCCTAAAGCCAGCACTCAGCTGCAGGCAGAAACCTTGAGCTTCATCCACTTGCACAAAGGGGTGTCATCCACAGAGTTCACAAGAAATAGGGAACACACAGTCGCCTGAGCCCAGCAACACTGAAATATTGGGACTCTTCCAATGTTTTCTAGCTCTCAGTACTTCCCTGGGATGCCAAGGTGTCTCCTACAAAATGTGAGGGCGGCTAAGCACTGCCTCGCTGGTATGACACCTTTTGCATCTAGTCCAGCCCTGAAACTCCTCCTCACAGGAACCAGCGAGTTATCCGCTGACGCCCACGTGGAAAGGTAGACTGCCCTCAACCATGGAGGTTTGATTCGCCCAAAGGCTGCCACCCTGCTCGGTGGGAGCCAAGCCTCCTGCGCTTGGTGAAGCGAGGCATCCACGGAGCTGCGAGAACGGGCAGTTCGTGCCGAGGACCCGCCCCAGGAGCTGCACGTCGCCGCCCTTCCTGCTCGGGGAGGGGAGCGGTCCTTACCCCGCCCCATGGCCCCTAAAATCGGGCCTCCCCCTCTTCCTCCCCCCCCCGGCCCTCCCGGGAAAAGAAAGAGCGCGAGAGAAAGCGGCTGCTTCGCTCAAAGATGCCCAACAGGGGACCCAGCCCGTAACCCCGCGAAAAGCGACAGCGCGTGTAAACGAGCCCGAGAGAAACGCGCGCCGCTCGGCGAGGCAGGCCGTTCACACGAGCAATCCGGGGAGCGCTGCTTCCCGCCCGCCCGCCATGTTGAGGGGGCGATAAACCCACAGCCCCGGGCCAAGCGAGCCAGCGTCCTCCTTCCCCGCCAGTCGGAACGATTCCTCCGGGCCCGGTAAGGGCTGCGCCTGGGCGCCAGCTCCAACAAAGCGGCCCCGGCGGAGGAGGAGGAGACGCTGGCACTAAACCGACGGCCCGAGGCATCTCTCAAGCCGCAAGCAACGCGCCCTTCCCTCCCTCGGCCCGAGACTCACAGCCGTAGTGGGGCCGGGCCACGCCCGCCCCGTCGATCTCCTCCGGGGTGGCCATGAGGACGAGCCAAGGCAGAGGGAGAGGCGGCGGTTCCGTCTAGTCGGAGCCCCTTGGTCGTCCGGCCGGGACGAGAAGGCTGCTGCTGTTTCTCAGGCTGCGGCGGCTGCTCGGAACGCGGGAGGGGAGTGTCCGCTCCGTCCGTTGGGCGGCGGCGAGGAGGTGGAGGCGGAGGGGAAGGCGGTAGGGAGCGGCCGCCCGTTCTCCTTCCTGGCGCGGCGGCGGCGCTGTCGGGCCAGCCCAGCGGGGTGTGTCTCCGGCTGCACCTCCCAGCCCAACCAGCTTGGCAAGAGCCTCCGCCAGGTCGCCCCGCCCAGTGGGCACTTGCTGGAAGAAGCGGCGGCTGGAGCCTCTCCGGGGAGCACCGCAGCGGGGAAAGGGCTCCCACCGGAGAAGAGCCCGAGAGGCGATGCACGGCCCCTTTCCTGAAGACGCGCGACTCCGCGGAGAACCTCCATGTCCAGAGGCAGGATACCCCGCTGTTGCCGACGAGGAAGGTCTTGCCTTCGTATTGCCCGCTTTCCGCCCCCTTGTTGCGGCTCCGGGCCAGCTGCGGTTGGAAACAGGACACTGGGGCAAAGGGACCCATTTGAGAAGCGGGGGTGGTGGTCTGTCCCGTTGCAGTTTGCAACTCTGCATTGCTAACTCCTCGCCCAGTGCAACCGCGAAGGATCTGCAGGAAACAGGCGGACGCCACCACGGAGCGAGCTGCCTCCGCTTAATCGGGAAGAAGGAAGCCCCACCGATATAAAGGCAGCTCCAGTACGATCTAGTTATACTATACGGGGATGAGAGGCATTGGAGGGCTTCAGCCCTGCTTGGCAGCAAATCGGTTGCTTGTTCCCTGAGGAAAGAGGAGACATTCTGCGCATGCTCGGGGTGGGGGGGGCACCTCAAAGCGGGAGGAATCAAACTCACAATGGGGCACATTGATAGAAGTGGGGCGGGGAAGGTTCGTTTCCTTTAATGATGGCAGATTTTGGCGAGGCCACGAAGAAACGAGGTCGTATTTCGGTTTCCTGGAATTTTTTTCTTCCCCTCATAAGAGTCACGCAGAGGAGTCTTCGCTGCCCCCCAATAAAATATTTGAGGGGTCCAGCCCCCCCATAGCTGTCAACTTTCAGATTTGAAAATAAGGGATCAGCAGCCTCAAAAATAAGCGATCAGCAGCCTCACCTGTCCCGGGGACAGCCTGCGGGATATCTAACAATCCGGGATAGCAGCGGTAAACAGCGCTGGAATAAGGGAATTTCCCGCAAAAAAAGGGAAGGTTGACGGCTATTCCCCCCCCCGCCCCAGTTGATGGTTACTGCCATTCAAATTGTGTGCCTGCACCCTGTCATGTGATCGATTATGCGGGGCGGGGCTTGCCTCCCCTCCCATATTTTATTCAAGTTGGCAACCCTGCCGCCAACTGGAAACCATAAGAAAAATTAAGATTTTTTTTAATTAGGTAGCAACAGTGCTTTTTTTCTTTAAAAAAATGTTTAGGGGTACTCGCTTTCTTTTTTTAAATATATTTTTATTAAGTACAAATTAGAAAACATACATATTCACAACAAAAGAAAATACAAAAGAAAAAGGATATACATCTAACCAAGGGAAAAAAATTAGAGAATATTTTGTCTCTTTTCATATTTACAGTTATTTATACCTCTATAAACTGCTGTTCACAATAAAGCAGTGAAATGAAAGATATCAGGAAAAAAGGAAAAAAGAACAAAGAAAGAATAAAGAAGTAAGAGAAAAAGATCATAAGTGAAAAATTTTAAAAGTAGATAAGTACTTACAATACATAGCCATTTCCCATCTATATTTATATTCAATTGTATAATTTCATCTTGTCCTTATCTACCTTAAATAAATTGTTTTTTTTTTTTAGTTTTTTAGGGGTACTCTCATTTTCCTACTCATATTGAAATACTGCCCCTCAATGAGGCCAAACTTAGATTCACAAAATGTTTAGGGGTATGTATCCCCCCAGAAAAAGAGCGCTGGGTAGCAATCTCTCTCTCACACACTAACACATGCGCGTGCAGCAGCCAATATCAGAGTCCCTCCTCTTTGTAACTTACTGTAGTTCTGATTTAAACCTCCGGATATATTATTTCAGGCTACAAACATTTTTAAAATGACCCTGCAAATGCAGCCAGTCCACCATCGTTCTCCGAATGAGAGCTCTAGAGTTTCCATATTTCAAAAAATGAAAATCCGGACACAAAAGCCTGCCCCCCCCAACATTGTGTCTCCACTAATGGGAGTCCCCCATATATCTGTCAAGCGGTTGGAAAGTGTTTCTTTTTTTACATAGCCACGTGCAGTTCACCTGTGGCTGTGGCTGTCATTGCTGCCTCCCCTCGTGGCACCATGGGTGTAGGCAGGGGGGCAGCCGCTGCCCCCAAATCAAATAATTAAAAGTATTGCAGTTTTCAAAGAGCAATTTAAAGAGCATTTTATGAGCATCATTGAAGGGTTGGAGAGATTATCACTAGAAGGAAATGGCAACAGGAGGAAATGGACACTCCAGCTAGATTCTGCTGCTACCAAAGCTCAATTCATCCTTGCTGCCACTCTGTTAGCCAAATATTCTGCCTTTTTGGAACCTGTGGTAAATGCCCTAGTGCCTAAAAAGCGAGTTCTTTGTAATTTTGCAAAATATACTCATTAACCGCAAGAAAGGTACTCCCTGATGTTAATTTTTAAATTTAACTTTTTAGTTTTCAAATGTCTGAAGATTTTGAGATTTTCCTGAACAATCGGGGCCAAAAGAAAGTAATTTAAAACAACTGTAGTTGGGACATTTCATTCCGAATCTGCTAGACAGAGCCAGACAGAGGAAGATGACAGGCCAGCGTCCTGCTCCCCCGGCCCCACAAATCCTGGCTACGCCCACGCGGGGCACCTTACGAATTCCATTCTGAAACCCGCCCCTCCTCCATCCAAAGTCGCGGGCGGTTTGAACGCAGCCCCGCAGCCGAGAGCCTCCTGCCTCTGCTATCTTTTGCTAGCTCTACACGTACAAGCAGTGCATTGGAAGCACATCCCCGCCTCGCCCCCCAAATCTTCCCTGCAGCGCCTGCTGCGATTGGCTTCCTCGCTCGTGTTTCGGTTTTTTTTTGCAAAGCCGCGCACAGATCTTCCGCTGCCGCTCTCCTCGCGCTTTGAAGCGCTGTCCCGCTCAGCTTTGCAGTGCTCGGCCAACGAGCGGTGAGGGCCGCCTGCCCTTCCCAACCTTTTGCTAGCTCTATGCGCTCGGAGGCGGTAGGCGCGCGCACTCCCTCCTTTTCCCGTCGGGCCTTGCGGGGCGCCGTCGTTCGCTCTTCGCCGGCCGCCGCGATGATCCACGAGCTGCTGTTGGCGCTGCGCGGCTACACCGGAGGCCTCTTCGTCGCCGTTGGAGGCGGCGGCAGCGTCTGCCTGCAGGTGGCGTCCCGCTCCGCCCCCTGGGGAAGAGGCGCCCCAGGCCGCCGCCGCTGCCGCCTCCCACCCTAACCGGCTTCTCGTTGCCCTCCCCTCCCGCAGGTGCCTCAGGAGCCTGTGCTGCCGCCCTTCCTTCACCCCAGCGAGGCCGCCCTCCTGGCCCGCGTCTGCCGCCTCGGCGCCTTCTACATTCGCTTCAGCGACTTCGTCGAGCAGTTCGCAGCCGAGCACGTCCAGCCGCCGCCCTCGCAAGGAGGCCCCTCGCAGGGCGGGCAGCAGCAGCAGCCTCCCCCCGGCGCCCCGTCAGCTCCTTCAGCAGCAGCAGCCCTGTCCGTGCAGCCGCAGGTGAGCGGTTCCCTGAGCATGTGCAGAGCGCCTTCCCCGCTGGCGCTTCGCGGGCCCGTCAGGGAGGTAGGCAGGCGAGGCCCCCACTTTTGCTCGCTTGCCTGTCACTTCTCCGGCCGTTTATGGGCAGTGACCCTCTGCGGAAGCGGCTTGGCCCTTTCCCTCACAGGCTGTTTCTCTCCGTCCATTCTCGAGGCCTAAAAGAGCCAGGACATCAAGGGCTGCAGCCGGCCGCCTCCGCATCTCTCTCTCTCCTGCCCCTCAATACCCAGAAGGGCTCCACATCCCTGTCCATGAGGTCCTCCGAGGTTTATTTTCCCCCTGGCTTTCTTTTTTCAATTGCTGGGCCTTGGGGGTGTTCATTGTTTTGGCTGCTTTTATGGAAGAGCGTTGTACTGTAATACTGCTGTCAAAAAACACTGATGTTTGTGGAGGAGCTTTCTTGAAAAGCAATGTGTGCATTTATTGAACAAGCCCTTCTCCTAATTGCACCTCCTGTGCAAGGGCTTTTGTGGCAGGATGCAGTCCCAGAACAATGGAGGGACGAGGGGGGGGGTGCGTTGCCTGTGGGTCGCTTCCACTCATGGCAATAGAGGTGGTTCTAGAGCCTTATGCATGCCAGGAGATTAACCCTTCCTTGATCCACTTTCAGGATCTGCACCCCTCCCAGCAAGGGATTTATCTGCGGGCTTTCTGCACTGGGCTTGATGCCGTGCTGCGTCCATATCGGCAGGCCCTGCTTGACTTGGAGCAGGAGGTAAGCAGGGCACAGTGGTTTTCTGTAGTAAATATTGCATGATGCTCTGCCCATCAAATCCAACTGCAGGTTTTTGTCACTAATAGTGGTTTGTTAATCTGTATTCATAACTCCTTTTCACTAAGCCACCCCACAACTAGACATGGTACAAGAATAGAGCATAAATGACTACTTGCTTGCTTAGCAGAGAGGGCACCAATCAGATTGCATCTGTTGATGGTGTCCTTCATTATTAACAGAGACAAAATTATTAGCCATGCAGACAAAAATGCTGATGAGCATTAAATTCCAGCACCATGGCTGCGTAGCTCTGTAGCAGCTAAACCATAGAGGAGGTGTTGGCCCCTTGAAGCAAGAGAAGACAAGCTTCTCTTCTGGTAAGCAGCAAGGGCACAGCATCCACCCATCTGAGCCAGTTGCAAAATTGAAGCTCAGAGATTAGCTACCTCCTGAACTTTGGTGTGGTGGGGGCATGGGGAGAGAGACATGGCTATAAAAGGACAACTGTTCTAACACCAAGCTCTAAAATGCCCCAGGGGATCTGGTTACTGGCAGCCAATCAGTTCCAGCCTAGTACTCTGGGTGTAAGTCAAGGGTCGGCAGCAGCCACAGACCCAAAATGAGCCCAGAGTGAGTGCAGGGCTGGGGCAACTTATTGACCATGATGCCCAAAGCAC